CCGATGTCGGAAAGCTGAAATTTAATACAGAAGTTAATCAAAGCGTCAAAGTATTATTTTCCAGAGTAAAATAAGCCTTTCCCTTTTTTTAATTCCTGCATTAATAGGATACAAAGGACTTCTTAAAATGCTAAGACAAATATTGAGAATGGGACACTTTAAATAAATATAAAAGTGATAACTTACATAGATTGGAGTGCTTATTCTTTATAGACATAGTTTTAAGAGCTTTAAACATGTTCTTAATGTAATCCTCACAACTCTTTGATGTAAGTAGTGATAGTAAGGAAACTTAAGTTTTCATGTCTAGTAATTGGCAGTGCCAGGATCCATTTCATATCTGGCTGACTCCAGAGCCTGTGCTCTTAAATACCATGCTGTACTGTATCATAGACAATATAATATAAAAGGCAATAAGCAATATAATAATAGCAAGACAATAGCTAATTGTAGATGTTTTCAGGACTCTGGGGTGTTAGAGATGGAAAACAGAGTTGCATATAAACACTAATTGCCAGATGGCTGTCCTTTCAGCAGGAGCTATGATCAGAGAGGGTACCACAGTGATTCATTAGCCCAAAACAGCTTCTTTCTTGTTTCTATTAATAGTACTCCAATTTTCCTCTCAATGAGCCGTTAAATTCTGGAGCCAGCTTAGAGTCACCATCTTCACTCTCCTATATCCAGGACGCCCTGAGGATTCTACTGTCAGAATTCCTCACATTCTTCCCTGTTCCCCATTCTCAGTACAGCTAATCAGCCCTTCTCCCTGCCCCGTCTTTCCATATTCTAATCAAGCTAATGCCTGGCTGCCAAAATGAATCTTTCTAAAATGTAGCTCAGATAATGTCATTTCTCTGTCTTACAGCTATCATTGCTATCGTCCTTGCCTAATACAGAATCTAAAAAAATAAAAACGTAGCTTTGGGAAAGACAGGTTATGGTTTGTCATTACCTTAAAATTAACTCTATTGATACATAAGAGAAGCTAAAGAACCTTTTTTCAAAAATGGACACTGCTAGATGGACCATGAAACAGACCATGTGATGGACAGGAACTAAAGAAGCCGATATACTAAAATAATGGATGAGAAAGTGCCTAGACAATGCTTAATGAAATTTATTAATTCATTCAAAAACAGAGACTAAACTCACTTCTGTGCCAGTTGAAAATTAACACAATGAATGGTATTGTAAGTTCCTTTTCCATATGGAATCACTCACAGCACCTCAGTCTTTTTAGCTGTGTTAACTGAACCATAACAGGGAAGACAAGTAGAGTATAAGAAAGAAGAAATAGAGAAATAAACATAGGTTAAATTACATTCAAGATAAGGGGGGAAAGTTGGAATTCTAATGTGAAAGATATCTAGAACCCAAAAGTAATGGAGTTATAATTGAAAGAAATTACTTTAGCGTTTGTATTTTAAAGTACTTAAAAAGAGATAGACTGAAAGGCAGCCTATGGAGGGGGAGAAAATATTTGCAAACCATATAACTGATAAGGGGTTAATATCCCCCTAAAATATATAAGGAACTCCTAAAACTCAATAGCAAAAAAACAACCCGTTTTAAAAATGGGAAAAGGACTTAAATAGACATTTCTCCAAAGAAAACATACAGATGGCCAACAGGTATATGAAAGGATGCCCAACATTACTAATCACCAGGGAAATGCAAATTAAATCAGCAAAGAATACACCTTACATCTATTAGAATGGCCATTATAAAAAAAAAACAAAATAACAAGTGTTGACGAGGACATGGAAAAATTGAAACCCATGTGCACTGCTATTAGGAATGTAAAATGGTCTAGCTGTTATAGAAAACAGTATGGTGGTTCCTTTAAAAAAACTAAAAATAGCACTACTGTGTGATCCAGCAATCCTCCTTCTAGATATTTATCCAAAAGAATTGAAATCAGGATCTCGAAGAGATGTTTGCATTCCCATCCCATATTCACCGCAGCATTATTGACAATAGTGAAAAGGTGGAAACCTAACCATCCATTGATGAATGAATGGATAATGTGGCATGTACATGTAATAGAATATTAGCCATAAACAAGAAGGAAATAACTGTTATATGGGTAAAGCTTTACAACATGGGTAAAGCTTGAGGACATTATGCTAAATGAAATAAGCCAGTCACACAAGGACAAATACCATATGATTCTGCTTATATGTGGTATCTAAAGTAGTCACACTCATTGAAGCACAAAGTAGAATGGTGGTGACCAGAGCCTTCAGGAAAGGGAAGATGCGGCGTTGCTGTACAGTGGGTATAAAGTTTCAGTCATACAAGGTGAAAAAGTTCTAGAGATCTGCTGTCCAACATTATGCTTATCATTGGTCATCTCAGGTGCTTAACTTGCTATCAAACATCGTCTCTGGTGAAGTGCCTGTTAAAATATTTTGTCCACTTTTTTATTGGGTTGTTTCTTTTCTTATTATTGAGTTTTGAGAGTGTGTTATATAGTTTGGCTGCAAGTCCTTTATCAGATGTGTGCTTTTGCAAATATGTTTTCCAAGTTTATGGCTTGTCTTTTCATTGTCTTGATGATGTCTTTTGAAGAACGTAAGTTTTTAAAAGTTCAATTTATGAATTTTTGTCTCTGGATTATTCTTTTGGTGTTATAGCTAAGATTTCTTTGACTAACCTAAGGTCACACATATTTTCTCCTATATTCTAGAAGTTTTACAGTTTTAGGTTTTATATTTAGGTCTGTGATTGATTTTGAGTTAATTTTTATGGTGTGTGGCATGTATCACAGTTTTTTGTTTTTGTTTTTTGGCATATAGAGATATCCAGTTGTTCCAACATCATTGTTGTAAAAACTAGCCTTCCTCCACTGAATTTCTTTTGCACCTTTATCAAAAACCAGACAATCATACATATATGGACCTGTTTCTGTCTTCTGTTCTAGTCATCTCTTTATCTGTCTTGATGCTAATATCACATCTTCTTGATTACTGTAGCTTTATAACTTGAAGTTAGGTATTGTTAAACCTCCAATGTTGCTCGTTTTCAGAGTTGTTTTGGCTCTTCTAGGTTCTCTGTATTTCCATATGAAACCTTGTAAATTTCTACCAAAAAAGTCTGCTAGAATTTTGATCAGGATTGCATTGGATCTGTAGATCAACTTGGGAAAAATTGACTTCTTATCAATATTGAATTTCACAATCCATGAACATAATATATCTCCTCATTCATATTGGTATTCCTTAATTTCTGTCAGCAGTGTTTTGTAGTTTTCAATGTACAGATGTTGAAAATATTTTATCATATTTATCCTTTTGTAGTTCATATTTCTTAGGCTATTATAAATAGTATTGTTTTCATCTTAATTTCTAATTGTTGCTAGTGTGCAGAAGTACCATTGATTTTTGTATATTGCTCTTGTATCATGAAACCTTGCTAAACTAACTTATTATTTCTGGTGGCTTTTTTATAGATTCCATGAGATTTTCTACATAGATGATCACATTGTCTGTGAATAATGATTGTTTTACTTCCTTTTTCTTTTCCTTTCTCTTGCCTTATTCTCTTGCTTATTACAACTGGTACAATGTTGAATAGAAGTGAGCAAAAATTCTTGCCTTACTCCTGATATTTGGGGGAAAGCATTCAGTCTTTCACCATTAGATAGGTTAGTGATAGGTTTTCAGTAGATGCACTTTATCAGGTTAAGGAAGTTCCTTACTATTCTTAGTTTGCTGAGAGTTGGTTTAAAAAAAAAAATCAGGAGTTTATGTTAAATTTTTTCAAATGGTTTTTCTGCATCTATGGAAATAATATGGTTTTCTTTTTTACTTTGTTAATATTGTGAATTACATTGATTTTTCAAATGTTAAACCAACTTTATATTGCCAGTATAAAATCCATGTGGTCATGATGGATTGCTTTTTTATGTATTGGATTCAGTTTGCTACAGTTTTGGTGTGGGCTTTTTTTGCATCTATGTTCATGAGATAATGGTTTGTAGTTTTCTTGTAATTTCTTTATCTGGTTCTGATACTATGGTAATAAGAAAGTATTCTCTCCCCTTTCGTTTTTTAAAGGGTTTATGTGAAATTGGTATTATTTCTCCCTTCAATGATTGGTAGAATTTGCTCACGAAGCCATCAGGGTCTGGAGTTTTCTTTATGGGAAGGTTTTAACTACCAGTTCAATTAGTTTATTAGATATAAGACTATTCAGGTTATGTGTTTCTCTTTTTAGTGAGCTTTGGTAATTTGCATCTTTCAAGAAATTTGTTTTATCTAACCTGTCAAATTTATTGCCATAAATTTGTTTATAATATTTCCTTATCCTTTTACTAATCTGTAGTCATATAACCATTCTCATCCTTGATTCTGTTCTCAATGATGTTTTGTCTTCTTTTTTTCCTGATTAATCTTCTTAGAGGTTTATCAATTTTATTGATCTATTAAATCTTTACTTTCATTGATTTTTTTCTGTTGTTTTCCTGATTACTATTTCTTTCCTCTCTATTATTATTTTCTTTCTTCTGCTTGCTTTGGGCTTTTTTCTTCATTTTCTAATTTGCTACAGTAAAAAATTAGGTCTTTGCTATAAGACCTTTCTTCTTTTCTAATATAGGCATTTAATGTTATAAATTTCTCTCTAAGTACTACTGCCTTAGCTGCATTTCACAGATTTTTTTATTTTCATTTTTATTCAGTTCAAAATACTAATTTGCTTTTTGCTTTCTTCTTTGACTCTGGATATTTCTGGGGAATTTCTAGATATATTTCTGCAGTTGATTCCTAATTTACCTCTGTTGTTGTCCAAGAGCATACTTTGTACAGCATAAACTCTTTTAAGTTTATTCAGAATTTTCTATGAGCCAAAATAGGGTTTAGATAAAAATTTCATATGTGATTGAAAAGAACCTGCAGTTTGGGGTAGATAGTTTTATAAATGTCAAATAGGTCAAGTTGATTGTTTTGTTCAACACTTCTATATATTGCTGATTTTCTATGTACTTATTTTTTCAGATATTGAAAGAGGGATATTGAAATCTGATGGTAATTATGGTTTTCTCTATATCTCCTTGCAGTTTTTGCTTCATGTATGAAAAGCCCTGTTATTAGGTGCATAAGTGTTTAGCATTGTTATGTCTTCTTGATTAATTGACCCATTGATCATTTTGCAGTGGATTTCTTTATCCTTGATGATTTTCTTTGCTCTGAAATCTACTTTGTCTGATTTGTCCTATACATTTGTGTTGGCATGGCATATCTTTCTCTATACTTTTACTTTTAGCCTTTTTATGTATTTATATTTAAAGTGAGTTCCTTATAAGCAGCATATAGTTGGGTATTATTTTTTGACTCAGTCTTTTAATTGAAATATTTATGTTTGCATTTATTTGATTTTTTATTTGGGTAATTTTAAATCTTTCATTTCTATATTTGCTTTCCATTTTTCCCATCTATTTCTTATTCTTTTTTCTCACTTTTCTCTATTTTTCTCCCATTTTTTTGGATTGAGTATTTTTATGAGTCTATATGGTGGTCTTAATTAATTAGCTATACTCTGTTTTGTTTTGTATGTGGTTACTTTATTATATTTAGTATATAGGTTTAATTTATCACAGTGTACCCTTAAGTTATATTATGCCATTTTGTGTATAGCAAAATAATACTTGTGTCAGAGATGCCTCCCAGGTTCAGTGATTCACTAGGAGAACTCATAGTTCTCTGCATATAGTCATTCCAATAGCTATGCTTTATTACAGTGAAAAGATGCAAAACAAAATCAGCAAATGGAAAAAGTGCATGGGGCAAAGTCCGGAGGAAACCAGACACAAGCCTCCGCGTATCTTCTCTCAGTGAAGTCACAGAATGCACTTAATTCCCCCCAGCAATGACTTGTGACAAACACATGTGAACTGTTGTCTGCCCAGAAAGTTCTTTAGAGATTCAGTGCCCAAGATTTTTACTGTGGCCTGGTCGTATAGACTTCCTTGCCTAAAAAATATCAAAATTCCAGACTCCCAGAAGGAAAGCAGCATGGTTTGTTAGCATAAACCATATTGTTTGTACAAACAATTTAGGAACAGTGAGCTACTCTTATTCATTCTGAGAATGTTGAAAATCCTCTCAAAGTACACGTTCCCAGATTTCGGGAAAGGGCCAACCTTGCAAGCAGGCGTTCTAAGTGTAACAGTCTAAGGTGTGTTATGTTAATTCTTTTCTGCACAAAATATATATTCATTTCTGTCCTCATAGCCTTTATATGTTATTGTCAGACATTTTATTTATATAAATGTTATAAACCTCTGCCATATTAAAAAAAAAGTCAGTTATCTTTTAAGGAGTTTTTTAAAATAAGGGAAAAAATCATGTGTATTAATCCATGTAGTTACCATTTCTGGTGCTCTTCGCTTCTTTGTGTTAATCCATATTTCTGTCTGGTGTCATTTTTCTTCTGCCTGAAGGACTTCTTTTAACATTTCTAATATTGTGTATCTACTGATGATAAAGACTTTTTCAGACATATGAAAGCTGAAAACATTAATTTGACCACTATTTTTGACATACATTTTCACTGGATATAGAATTCTAAGTTGACAGGTTTTCTTTTTTATTTTTTATAATTTAAAGCTATAGGTCCATTGCCTTCTCATTTGCATTGTTTCTGAAAAGGAATCTACTGTCATTCTATCTTTGTTCGAGTGTACTTAATGTGTCTTTTTATACTGTGGATGCTTTTAAGATTTTCTCTTTATCGCTCATTTTGAACAATTTGATTATGATGTGCCTTGGTGTCATTTTCTTCATATTTCTTGCACTTGGGGCTCATTGAGCTTCTTGGATCAGTGAGTTTATAGTTTTCATCAAATTTGGAAATATAGCCATTTTTTCTTAAATACATTTTCTGCTCTTCCCTCTCCTGCCCCCCTTTTTCAGGGACTCCAATTACACCTATATTAGGCCAGTTGAAGCTGTCTCGCAGTTCACTGATGCTCTTTTTATTTTAGAGGATTGTTTTTTCTCTGTGTGTTTAATTTTGGATACTTTTTATTCCTATGTCTTCAAGGTCACTCATCTTCTGTAATGTCAGTAGTATATACTTTTCTGATTTGTCACTAATCCCATATAGTGTGGGGGTTTTTTTCCATTTAGTGTGGTTTTTATTTCTGATTTTATAGTTTTTTTCTCTAGAAGTTTAATTTGGGTCTTTTTTTATCTTCCATGCCCCCACTTTTGAACTTATGGAATGTACTTATAGTCACTGTTTTAATATCTTTCTCTGCTAATTATAACATCTATGTCAGTTCTGGGTCAGTTTTAATTGATTGCTTTTTCTCCTAATCATGGTTCATATTTTCCTGCTTCTTTGCATGGCTGATAATCTTTGTTTGGATGCCAGACATGTTAAATTCTACCTCATTGGGTGTTGGATATTTTTGTATTCTTATAAATATTTTTCAACTTTTTTCTGAAATGTGATTAAGTTATTTTGAAACAGTATGATTAGTTTTGAGCCTTGCCATTAAGACTTGTTGAGTAGGACTAAAACAGTATTTTTTACAGGTCTTATTATTCTATACTTACGAGACAAGACCTCTCTGAGTATTCTACCCAGTGCCCTGTACATTGTGAGGGTTTCCATCCTGGCTGGTAGGAACAGGCACTTATTCCTGGCCCTTTGTAAGCAGTGGGCACTCTTCTCTGTAATCCTCTGGCATAAGTCTTCCTGGTCTTGGGTAGTTTTCTCAAATGCATGCGCCAGTCAGTACTCTTCTGATTACTCAAGGGTTACGCTACACGAATCTCCAGAATTATTTCTGTAAAGCTTTCTCCTTCCCAGTGCTCTATCCTTTTAACAGTTGCTGCCTTGGTCTCCCTGGAGTCTTAGCACCATCTCCTCAAGTAAAGATGTCTGCCAGAACCTAACTGGGTTCTTCCTCCCTACATCGTGGCCTGGAAATTTTCTCAAGGCAATAAGTGGTCATACAGTTTGCCTCATTTGTTTTTCATCTCTTGGGGATCACTATTTTTCATTGCTTATGTCTAGTGTCTTGAAAACTATTGTTTCATACTTGTATATCTTGTCTAGAGGTTTGTTTGTTTGGGGGTTGTTTTAGGTGGGGAGGGTAAATCTAGTCCTTGTTATTCCATCTTGGCCAGAAGCGGAAATTCATGTCAAATTTTTTAAAAGAAAATTATAGGTGAAATGGACCAGAGCATAAATCCATCTCTCATTAGAAAATGACTCTCTGGTAGTTAGAATTGAGTTCTCTATAAGCTGAAATACATATTGTACCCATAATTAAGTGTGGTCATTTTTTCACAACAATAAATCTCATATGTAGCATTAGTAAGATCTTAGTTAACCAAATGGACGTGTGTGGATCCAGCCTTCTCAGTAACTTCTCTAAAACAAAGGAAAACAGTCTTTAAAAAAAACTATCCTGTCCTCTCTGGACACTAAAGCCAAGGCACATTTTCTCTTTTCCGCCAGCTTCCTATAGGAATACAATTCTTTGATTGTCGGCGCCTTGGCCAGCATCCAGGCCTTGCCTATAATATGCACAGAGCTTGGAAAATAACCATTTTTCTCCCCTGTCTTGTTATTTAATGTTTATGACAGTTGCCTTTAAATAGGAATGTATCCATGAAAGGTGGCAAACAAATAATTTATTTCCTTTTATTCTCAAAGTGCAGAGCAGTGATTTCCCAAAGACCTTGGTTTGCAGCCTATAACTGTCTTCCCCTAGTCTTCCTGTTCTAATAAAACCAAGTCAATACACATTTCCCTGTAGTTGAGAATGGAAAATCCATATTCACTGTTGTCACTCATGAGTTCACTTAGTAAATCTTTCTGAATATACGTGTTATATGATAAGAACTGTATTAGTTAATAAGGACTTAGTAGGTTGAGTGATTGCAGTAGGGTGATGATGAAATATGAGGATAGAAGTGTAGAGGTTGCCATGATCATGTCAGATACATATATTTGCTGGCTGTCACGGAAGGGATATATGGGATCCAAGGTTATTCATTAAAAGTCTGTTTAAGTACATAGTAAAAGTAAGAGAGATTGAGAACCTAAATTATATGACTGTCATTCATTGAGGATTAAGGCTCTGAGCTAAGAACTTAACATACATTTTCTCATTTAACCTTATGGGGTAAATGCTCTTATTAGCCTCATTTTACGTATGACAAAACTGAGTCTTAGATCCAGCAACTCCTCCAACGTTACACCACTACTATAAGTAGTAGCGGGATGGGAGAAGAAAAAAGGAATTATAGCTGAAAGATATTTCTCAAGAATGATTGATAGGACCTTGTGACAAATTAGATATAAAGATTAAGGAAGAAGAAATCCTGGTGAGTCCCAGGTTTTTATCTTGGAAGACCAGGCAGATGGTGATATCTCATTAACTGAGATAACAAATAGAAGAGAATGAACAGGTTAAGGTGAGTGAGACAATAACTTTAGTTTTAAACATGTTAAATTTGAGAATTCTACTGGAAAATCCAAAGAGATAACTGTTATAACAAAATGCTATACAGGAGCTTAGGAATGAGATCTGGAATAGAAACCATCACTACTTAGATAGTTGTGAAAGTCGCTAATCTGTTCCTTTGAGATTACCCAGGGAGATTATGAAGAAGAAAAAAAAACAATAAAATATAGAACTTTACATTGGCAGTGTTTTAGGGGAAGAATCATTAAAGACACATCAGGAGGAGAGGACAAAAAAAGGAACTAGAAGAAAATGTTGTCATCTTAAGCCCAAGAAGGAATGTATTTCAAAAACTAGGGTCTTGTTAAAAGTGTTAAATACTGAGGAGTGGTTAAGAAGCATAAAGACTGAAAATAAATCATTGGACTTAACAATTACAAAGTCTTTAGTGACTTTCAGCAGTGCAAAATGGGTGGAGACCAGGCTAGAATGAGTTACTGCTTGGAAGCAAAGATAGCAAGCATGGCTTTCAAAATGTTGGGCGGTGAAAGGAAAAAGGGAGATAAGTCAGAAGCCTCAAAGGGAAGAGGGCTCAGAGAGAGT